TCGATAAACGTGCAGCAGAGGATGTGCGCATACAATTTACTATCAAAACTGAGACTAGTGATGATGCCGATGTGCTGCTATTGGATGTACCCGCACATGTGGCCGTGAAAGAATTACCCTCCTGCACGGGCATATTGAAGTTGAGATGTAAGCAGGAGTTGGCTGAGTTGCAAGTGGTTTTCAACTTGGCCGAAGGCTTACGCTGTAGTCAAGATACACTCGCCTATGTGGATATGAGAGCAGGGCAGGTCGAGACGTTGGAATTGGACTTTTATGTGGATGATCTGCTGCATTTGCATACGGCACGCGTCGATGTTATTGTTTCCTTTATCAGCAATAAGGTGAGTGAAGTTTGTGGAATAATGAGCGAAATGGAATTGTATTTGTCGTTCGCTTTATTTGCTACTAGGGTATACCGCGCGTCTTGCAACAATCCGCATACTTACCGCTAACCATGTTCTTCAAACAAAAGCATCCACAAAAGTCGGCTGAGATCAAACTTACATACAATATTATGTCGAAAACGCTAACACCCAAGCTATCTACGTTCTTTCCCGAATTTGTAGCGATGGAAAGTGAATCGCAAGCGCTGGGACTCCTATTACTTTGCCCGGGCGATGAGAAACGTGAAGAGGTTGTGACTATTGTGCTGGCAAAGAACTCCAATCGTCTGCGGTTGGTATTACAGTATTAAAGCTGCTGACTAAATTGCCAATATCTTTTTGTTTTTTGAAACTCTTTTTAGAATACAATCAGATACATTAGAGACACTTCCAATGATATTAGAACGTATAACGAAAGTGGCTTTGGAAAATGCGCAAGAGTCGCATGCTTCAAAGGATAAACGTGTGAAAAATGTGATAAATCCCAGAGTGAAAACGATTATGGCCAATCCAGCGCTACCAATCCACTCCATTTTGCTTAAGATCGATCTGCATCGCGAGACACAAGAGAATATACACAAGCAAATGGTAAAACTGTTGAAACTCTCTGGCGACTAGATCTACACACATAACATATTTTTTTTCGTTTTACAGTTGGAATTGGATTTGTTATTGCAACAATTTAAAACATTACAGCGCAGATTACAGGATCACTCTGAGGATGAGTCCAAGGAAACATTGGTCATGCAGATTGAGGAAAATTATGATCAACTCATAGCTGAGGGTGATAAATTAATGGAAATACGCAAACAGGAAAAAACGTAAGTATAAATGCAAATATACTATACCAGATTTTACGCGCGGCTCTGCCCGCCGACATAACGTTTAATGTTATGCTTTCAAATGTTATAGCTGCAACTCAAACTGTTCTACCGAATGCTATAGAGTGTAAATATGTAAGATGTTATTAATTAATTAACTAAGTAAAATTTTATGACGCCCATATAAAAATATTTAATAAAACTTGCTAATTAAACTCTTCTTGAATTTCCAAACAGGTGGCAGCCCTCAAAAATATTTTCGAAATGAAGTCTTCTTAGACTTCTTGTTGACTTGATGGCCAAATAAAATATTTCTTTTAACTTTTTGTTGAAATGGATTTCGCGATCAAAAACAGGTGGCAGTCCTCTCAAAAATCGTTTTCAAGCTTTCTTGAACACCTATCGTTTGACATCCATAGAACAATATTTTTCATTTAACTTGTAAATGAAATGTTGAAATTTTGAGCAGGTGGCGGCCCTCTTCAACAACAACTTTCTATCTTAGTAAATTTGCTTGCTTTTCGACCAGCTGCTGTTCTATCGCTTGTTTTGTATGGAAAAAGGTTTCACATGCAAATAGATTTTAACCTTTTGGAATTTTTGTGAGAAGAAATTAAAAATGTGGCAAATTTCGAGACCAAATAATTTGAAAAAAAAAAAAAATCAAATCAGCTGCTATACTGTGTTACTACCTGTTCAATGTGCCTTGACTTCACCTGTTCATTGAGCCATGAAAAATAACAACCAAATTTGTTATCCACTTATCCATTACAATAAACAAAAATTCAACAATTGTATTGAGCTTGAGGCCGGGTCTTTTTTACAGAAAATTGTGTGGAAAAACAACACTAATTTACATTTTGGTAGAAGTTATAGCCGGGCCATTCCACTGTGAGTAGTGTGACATTTTACTCCAGAATGTGATCAATTGTGAATATTAGCTATGTCGTTGGAACTTTTACAACATCGAAACACATTTTTTAACATAGTACGATAACTAATGTTTAAAATTGCTCTAACAAAAATACCAAATGATTTCTTAGTTGTATGTAACTATCATTTGAATGAAAAGTTTTTTGAGATAGGGCGTTTTCGAACTGGCTGCCGGGAGAGGTCCAACTTCCACTCAGCAGTGTTACATTAAAGATAGGAATTTGAAAAATGTATTTACTCATATTTGACATTCAGTATGCAGCAACTGTTCAGCTATTTGGAGGCAACTTTTCTTTCGTAATCACCAGCTTATTTTCATTTCTTTCAGGCAACGTTGTGGCCTTAATTGCGCAATTTCCGTAGCCACTTCACTTATCGGCGCGCTACGCATGGAGGAAAAGCTGGTGAATGTCATTTGCGCAGTGCTTTGCACACCGATTGAGGATTGGACAGAACTAGTAAGATGCACTCACAACACAAACATCGTTTTCAATCCCAATTGTCCCACTCATTCACTATTTTTTTTTTGTCTTACACAGAGTT